TAGGGGAGAGATGAGAAGGAATAAAATCACTGATTATGCCTTCTTTTCCCAGTGAAGGTTCTTTAGGCCTCAGGCCAGGCTCTGCCTAGGGGAGGGGAAAGAGCTTTAATTGGATATGTGATTTATGTTTTAAATTGGGTTAAATTAACTTGAAATGGACTTTTTTTTTCTTTTAATACTTGAACGTTTTTGGAAGTTAAATTGGTTAAGGTTTATTTGAAGATAAAAAAGGGATATGCTGCATGGCAAATTGAAAGTGATGATTGGGGAATTCCCTGGAGGTCAGTTGTTGGGACTCTGGGCTTTCACTGCCAAGGATCCGGCTTCAAGCCCTGGTCAGGGAACTAGGATCCCACAAGCTGCAAGGCACAGCCAAAAAAAAAAGTGATGATTAGAGTAAAATTATCAAGCTGCGGGCTTCCCTGGTGGCGCAGTGCTTGAGAGTCCGCCTGCCAATGCAGGGGACACGGATTCGTGCCCCGGTCCGGGAGGATCCCACATGCCGCGGAGCAGCTGGGCCCGTGAGCCATGGCCGCTGAGCCTGCGCGTCCGGAGCCTGTGCTCCGCAACGGGAGAGGCCACAGCAGTGAGAGGCCCGCATACCACACACACAAAAAAATTATCAAGCTGCTGCTTGTTTGAATCTCCCGCCAAGTAATATTGGGAAATGTAGTTTTCTGATTAACTTAGATGATGATATTAATGGAGAAGAGAGATCTGACGTAAAATTGATTGCCTCTTAAAAGTGTTAACCATGCGGAGGTGTGTGAAAGCTTGATTCTTTTTTTTTTTTTTTTTTTTTTGCGGTACGCGGGCCTCTCACTGTTGCGGCTTCTCCCGTTGCGGAGCACAGGCTCCGGACGCGCAGGCTCAGCGGCCATGGCTCACGGGCCCAGCCGCTCCGCTGCATGTGGGATCTTCCCGGACCGGGGCACGAACCCGTGTCCCCTGCATCGGCAGGCGGACTCTCAACCGCTGCGCCACCAGGGAAGCCCGAAAGCTTGATTCTTAAAGTGACACAGATATTGATTGTCTGAGCTCTAGCGGGAGAGGATGGACTCTTTTTTCCTGTAAAAAAACCAAACAAAAACTTGTAAGGAGATGTGGGTCAAAGGGTACCAACTTTCAGTTATAAACTGAATAAGTTCTGGGTATCTAGTATATAGCATGTTGATTATAGGTAATAATAGTATATTGTATACTTGAAATTTGCTAAGATCTTAGATGTTCCCACCACATTAAAAAAATGTAACTATATGAGGTGATGGATTTGTAAATTAACTTGATTGTAGTAATCACTTCATAGTGTATACACATATTAAGTCATCGCATTGTGCACCTTAAACACCTGATTGTAGAAGCTAAATATATACAATTTTTATTTGTCGATCATTCCTCAGTGAAGCTGGAAAAAATGACTTTTTCCTTTGCATATTGTAAACCATTTTGAAAACTTCTGTATAGTGCAAATAATTAAACATCAGTGCAACACATTATCCCTTCTCAAACATGAACATGATATCATGTAGCCTTTGGGTATATCCTTCCAGGCTTCCTTGTGCCTTTTAAAAATTGCTTATTGCCTTTTTTTTTCCCCCAAATTGAGATCATACTTGTAAAAATTTTTGTGGCCTGCAAGAGGTTGCATAAGGAAGCAGAAATTGTTGTAACACAAAAATGTTCACTGATGAAGTAACCACTGAACATTCCTGACTTCTCTCTTAAAACTTGAATTTATTCACCTATCCAACCACTGTCTTTCTCTCTGTGCTGGGGTCTATTTAATGCAGATGGATTGGGAAGTCAGTGAAGGATACTGGAGATCAGTGTGGTCACTGACAAATTTGTCTAGGTTGGACCAGTTGAAAAACAAATAAAGAAAAATATCTAGAGATGACAACAGGATGGGCACTTCAGTGAAGAATGACTGTACATGACATATTAAGATAAGCTTTTGGGAACATCCATGTACCTCTCATGAAGGATTGCTGCCATGATGGTGCCATGTAAGTCACGCAATGGAAAATGATGTGCTATTGCATATCATTTTGATAGAAAAATTACATCCCCTCCAAAAGAAACTCCCACTATTTTTATTCATTCTTTGATTATCTAATAATTAGTTGATAGGTATAAAGGTTGCCTCAGTGTTGTTAAACTGCCATGGTAATGTTTTTTAATCTTATAGGGTACTTTTTCAGGGTAAATTTTCAATCAAATCTTTGTTCCCTATTATGAATATGAACAAATACTTATTATGAGTGTGAATACTTAATAGCCTTCTACTAAGTACCATTTATTGATGATAACGAGGGTCACCTGTATTTAAGTTTTTCTGAAGTCTCTAGACTGTTATAATAAATAGTAACCAGATAACCATATTTTCCTACTGAGTAAGCGTATGCTAGAAAAGCTAGTTTTATCCTAAGTTAAGTACATACTTTTAAAAACCTATACGCACAAGTTATAATAAAAAATTTCTTTAACTTTTTTTAGGTCTAATTATAAGTTCAGTATAGAAGGTACCACTTCTGTCTCTTATGGAATTAAGGCAAAATTACTCAGATTTTTCTAACTCTGATATATTGATGACTAGTGACCATTAGACTGGTGTATGCAAATACCTTAGCTAATCTGCTAAATGGGCTTTTAATTATGTGCTAACTTGTTCTTTTAATTATCCTAGTTGTCATATAAATAAATTAGCCTCTGGGATATTTGCTGTGTTCCCATTCTCTGAGATCCTTCTGGCTTTCTACTGTGCAGGTGAATCACCTGGGGAATCTTGTTAAAATGCAGATTCTGATTCAGTATGCATGCAGCTTGGAGGCAGGCAAAATTCCAAATTTGAAGCCAGCTTCCAGGACAATGCCAGTGCCAATGCTGCTGGCTTTTAGACCACATTTTGAATATCAAGGCTTTTAATAGCAACTTTGGGAACACAAGCCAGGCAAACTTGTTGAAGCCATTTCTTGTTATGATAACTTTATGATTCACTCCTAGTTTATTAGTAATATATATTTTTCCTGTGGGGATATATCTATTTACTTATAACTTGTAGCACATGAGTTTTACTGTAGTTTTTGTGTTGGGCATGTCATCTACAGTGGTATTTATAAAGAATGGTAACATACTGATGATGATGATGTAATAATTGACATGTATTGACTACTTATGTCTGACACTGTGCTTTACAAAGTTTGGCTAAATTTTCTCAAAAAAACCATGCAGTAGACATTATTGTTGTTATCCCCATTTACTAATGAGGAAGCTTGGTAACAAGTTTAGTGACTTGCCCAGAGTCACACAACCAGAAGGTGGCAGAGCCAGGATGTCAGCTCAGGTAGTCTGACTCTAGAGCTTGTACTTTTAATCTCTTTACTAGTCTGACAACAGCTAGAAAGCATAGGCTTAATATAATATCAGGTATCTGAATTTTCTAGCTTATGTCACCATTCATATAAGATATATTTGAATTTTCTAGCTTTTTCCCAAAAGACCTTTGAATAGCATTTTCCTTCCTTATGTTTTCCTTTTTTTGTGGCTTTCCCATAGATACTGATGATCTGTGATTTGTTACCAGTTTTTTTAGTCTTCCTTTTTGTATATTTGTGCTTAGAGAAAAAGATCTCAACTTTCATATTCTTTTGATATGAAAATTTATGAAGAATGAAAAGTAGATAGTACCCTGCCCAGAATGAAAGATAAAAAGTGTTTTTAGTAATGTTGAGACTATGTGTTTCTGCCAAAGAGTAGTAGCCCAGGAAAACATCAGGTTCTATAGGATCATCACAAAAGAATGGTTGATTCTTCTGTGTGTTCTTAAAAATTGGGAATTTTTTTCTTTATCCAAATGGTAATTATATTCTAGTAATTAGTCTGGAGACATACCTTCTGAGTTCTGCAAAACCACCAGGTGGTCTTAGAGAAGCCAAGAGAAACTGAGAACTCTGCCTTAGCTTCTCAGCCTGTTAGATGTTGACAGTTGTGTAGTGCTTGAGCCTTCATCCCGTGTTAAGAAGTAAGTACGTACACAGGTGTTTGTAAAAATATATGAAAATGAGTGAAAGCTGTTTAGGATTAGAAAAATATGTTACCGTAGCTGCAATTTAATTTGGAAATCGGTAAGCACAGAACAGGTCATGATAAATAAGAATATAGGTCATTACTCATGTCGAAGTAATAGGAGGCTGTTTACTTTCATTATCTCTGTTTCTTTTACAGTCCATCAATATTATGGAACTGACTTTACAAAAGTATGGAAGCTATGAAAAATTTGAACAGGCCACCGGTGGTAGCCTACTATCTAAAACTCGAATCTGGAGTCATGTTAGGAAATACATGATGAAAGAAGGCTGCATGGGTGAGGTATGAATCATGAGTAAGCATGACAATTTGAGCATTTTAACGCTCAGTCACTGCCACGTGTTTGTTTTTCCTGCAGGTTTTGTTTTCCCAACACTATTTTACCCATTAAATAAGTCACTCAGATTTCTTACTAAATATAAGTCTAAGTTTTTATTGCATTGAATTGTTAATGTTCAGTTTTTTCTGTTTTTCCTTTTTTCTTACTACCATTTTTGTATAGCTTGTAGGATTATGTGAATTGGCTTATGAAAATTATTAATGAAGAGATTTGGCACAGTGACTTTTCTTATTAATGTCCAGTTCCTAGTGTTCAGTCTCAAAATAAGCTTTGGTCCAGCAGTGACCAGGACTCTGGCTCCTTTACCTTCCTTTGCATTATTCCAGCCCGGGGGACTATATTTGAGAGCACTGCAGAGGCACAATTTCAGTTCTCTGTGTCTTCCTCTGCACAGCTGTCTACTGTTTTTTCAATCCAGTAAAGGTTCTTGAGTTCCCAAAGGCTCAAAATTCCAAGGGTCTGCATTTCATCTTCTTGGTTTTGGGGAGATTCAAGATGGTGTAAACAAAAGAAAAAGGTGTTAATTTATGGGTCCATTGTTTTCTGTGAAAACTTTCACCCCCTGCCTTCTACGTTCTTTTATTTATATATATATATATATATATATATACATATATATATATATACACACACACACACACACACACACACACATGAGTTCACCTCTGAGGACCTGCTTTCCCGAGCTTCCATGACAGTAGTAAATGGATGTCCAACACTGACCATCAATGTTTGCACTGCACGTGAGCATTGGCTGGAAGGAATGCTGAGGCATGAAATAGGTAGGGGGCAACCCTTCTCCATTTATTCAGTTGTAATAGCAGAAATTACTTAAAGGACTTGTTTGTTTATAATGCATTTTTTATTAGTAATATTTGGCAAAAAGTAATGAAATTGTTAGGTGTCACTTGAACTAAAGCTAAGATATTAATGTCTCATTTCAAATTAGATTTTTTTACGGTACCGTATAGCTGTATTAAGCTTGGAGAGTCATTTAACTCCTCTGGATTTCAGTTCCCCCATCTTCAACTGAGGGAATTGAATTAAGTGATCTCTAAGATTCTTTTCAAATATCAAGTCTATAATTCGACTCTTAAAAAGAAAATAAATTGCTGTAAAAATTATACCTCTTCTAATGAGACATGTAATCCTTCTGAAGGCTGCGTACTCCTTCAAAGCAAAGGGCATTAGTGTCAGATCATTTTCTACTTTCTTTTGATTTGTAGGTACACATCAATTTTGTTTTAGAACTGTTGGTAGAATCTTTTTTTGGAGAAGAATTAAAATAAGAATGGCATTTCTTACTTTTCATGTGCCTTTTCTTCTCCATAGGCACACATTATTTTCGAGGTATTAACAACCTTCAGCAGCCATGGAACAGTTGGACTGGCCGTAAAAAACATGACCTAAAGCCAAACAATCCCACAGAGGAAGGACTGGCAAGTATTCACAGTGTCCTGTTTAGAAAAGACCCCTTTTTATGGAGGGCTGCCCTCCTCTACTACACTGTTTATCGAGCCAGCCACATGTCTTTTTGTGCATTATTCAAAGACATTGGAAAGTTTGTCAAGGACCCCAGTACAAGATGGGATTATTGTGTACGAGCCAAGAGGGGATGGACTGATACCTCCCAACCAGGTGTGTGTCCCTTGACAGTAGATTTTCTGATTTATTGGGTAATTGTCATTTTTTTTTTAATTTTTGAATTTTATTTTATAAAACAGCAGAATTTTGTTTCCTAAAAGAGCAGGTTCTCACTAGTTATCCATTTTATACATATTAATGTATATATATCAATCCCAATCTCCCAATTCATCATACCACCACCACCACCCTCGTGCCACTTTCCCTCCTTGGTGTCCATACGTTTGTTCTCTATATCTGTCTCTCAATTTCTGCCCTGCAGACCAGTTCGTTTCTACCATTTTTCTAAGTTCCACATATATGCGTTAATATACGATATTTGTTTTTCTCTTTCTTACTTCACTCTGTATGACAGTCTCTAGATTGATCCACGTCTCTACAAATGACCCAATTTCATTCCTTTTTATGGCTGAGTAATATTCCATTTTATATATGTACCACATTTTCTTTATCGATTTGTCTGTTCATGGGCATTTAGGTTGCTTCCATGACCGAGCAATTGTAAATAGTGCTGCAGTGAACATTGGGGTGCAAGTGTCTTTTTGAATTATAGTTTTCTGTGGGTATATGCCCAGGAGTGTGATTGGTGGGTCATATGGTAATTCTATTTTTAGTTTTTTAAGGAACTTCCATACTGTTCCACATAGTGGCTGTATCAATTTACATTCCCACCAACAGTGCAAGAGGGTTCCCTTTTCCCCACACCCTCTCCAGCATATGTTGTTTGTAGATTTTCTGATGATGCCCATTCTAACTGGTGTGAGGTGATACCTCACTGTAGTTTTGATTTGCATTTTCTCTTAATAATTAGTGATCTTGAGCAGCTTTTCATGTGCTTCTTTGCCATCTGAATGTCTTCTTTGGAGAAATGTCTATTTAGGTCTTCTGCCCATTTTTGGATTGGGTTGTTTGTTTTTTTAATATTGAGTTTCATGAGCTGCTTGTAAATTTTGGAGATTAATCCTTTGTCAGCTGCTTCATTTGCAAATATTTTCTCCCATTGTGAGGGTTTTCTTTTCATCTTGTTTATGGTTTCCTTTGCTGTGCAACTGCTTTGAAGTTTCATTAGGTCCCATTTGTTTATTCTTCTTTTGATTTCCATTACCCTAGGAGGTGGATCAGAAGAGATCTTGCTGTGATTTATGTCAAAGAGTGATCTTGCTATGTTTTCCTCTAAGAGTTTTATAGTGTCTGGTCTTACATTTAGGTCTCTAATCCATTATGAGTTTATTTTTGTGTATGGTGTTAGGGAGTGTTCTGATTTCATTCGTTTACATGTAGCTGTCCAGTTTTCCCAACACCACTTATTGAAGAGACTGTCTTTTCTCCATTGTATATCCTTGCTTCCTTTGTCATAGATTAGTTGATCATATGTGTGTGTGTTTATCTCTGGGCTTTCTGTGCTATTCTGTTAATCTATATTTCTGTTTTTGTGCCAGTACCACACTGTCTTGATTACTGTAGCTTTGTAGTATAGTCTGAAGTCTGGGAGCCTGATTCCTCCAGCTCCATTTTCCTTTCTCAAGATTGCTTTGGCTATTTGGGGTCTTTTGTGTTTCCATACAAATTGTGAAATTTTTTGTTCTAGTTCTGTGAAAAATGCCATTGGTAGTCTGATAGGGATTTAATTGAATCTGTAGATTGCTTTGGGTAGTATAGTCATTTTCACAATATTGATTCTCCAATCCAAGAATACAATATATCTCTCCATCTGTTTGTATCATCTTTAGTTTCTTTCATCAGTGTCTTACAGTTTTCTGCATACGGGTCTTTTGTCTCCTTAGGTAGGTTTATTCCTAGGAATTTTATTCTTTTTGTTGCAGTGGTAAACAGGAGTGTTTTCTTAATTTCTCTTTCAGATTTTTCATCATAGTGTATAGGAATGCAAGAGATTTCTGCCCATTAATTTTGTATCCTGCAACTTTACCAGATTCATTGATTAGCTCTAGTAGTTTTCTGGTGGTATCTTTAGGATTCTCTATGTATAGTATCATGTCATCTGCAAACAGTGACAGCTTTACTTCTTCTTTTCCAATTTGTATTCCTTTTATTTCTTTTTCTTCTCTGATTGCCATGGCTAGGACTTCCAAAACTGTGTTGAATACTAGTGGTGAGAGTGGACATCCTTGTCTTTTTCTGGATCTTAGAGGAAATGCTTTCAGTTTTTCACCATTGAGAATGATGTTGGCTGTGGGTTGGTCATATATGGCCTTTATTATGTTGAGGTAGGTTCCCTCTCTGCCCACTTTCTGGAGAGTTTTTATAAATGGATGTCGAATTTTGTCAAAAGCTTTTTCTGCATCTATTGAGATGATCATATGGTTTTTATTCTTCAATTTGTTAATATGGTGTATCACATTGATTTTGCATATATTGGAGAATCCTTGCATCCCTGGCATAAATTCCACTTGATCGTGGTGTATGATCCGTTTAATGTGTTGTTGGGTTCTGTTTGCTAGTATTTTGTTGAGGATTTTTGCATCTGTGTTCATCATCGATATTGGTCTGTAGTTTTCTTTCTTTGTGACATCTTTGTCTGGTTTTGGTATCAGGGTGATGGTGGCCTCGTAGAGTGAGTTTGGGAGTGATCCTCTGCTATATTTTGGAAGAGTTTGAGAAGGATGGGTGTTAGCTCTTCTCTAAATGTTTGATAGAATTCGCCTGTGAAGCCATCTGGTCCTGGGCTTTTGTTTGTTGGAAGATTTTTAATTGCAGTCTCAATTTCAGTGCTTGTGACTGGTCTGTTTATATTTTCTATTTCTTCCTGGTTTAGTCTTAGAAGGTTGTGCTTTTCTAAGAATTTGTCCATTTCTTCCAGGTTATCCATTTTATTGGCATAGAGTCGCTTGTAGTAATCTCTCAAGATCCTTTGTATTTCTGAAGTGTCAGTTGTTACTTCTCCTTTTTCATTTCTAAATCTATTGATTTGAGTCCTCTTCCTTTTTTTCTTGATGGGCCTGGCTAATGGTTTATCAATTTTGTTTATCTTCTCAAAGAAGCAGCTTTTAGTTTTATTGATCTTTGTTATTGTTTTCTTTGTTTCTGTTTCATTTATTTCTGCTCTGATCGTTATGATTTCTTTCCTTCTACTAACTTTGGGTTTTGTTTGTTCTTCTTTCTCCAGTTCCTTTAGGTGTAAGGTTAGATTGTTTATTTGAGACTTTTCTTGTTTCTTGAGGTAGGCTTGTATTGCTATAAACTTCCCTCTTACAACTGCTTTTGCTGTATCCCATAGGTTTTGGATCGTCGTGTTTTCATTGTCATTTGTCTCTAGGTACTTTTTGATTTCCTCTTAGATTTCTTCAGTAATCTCTTGGTTATTTAGTAACGTATTGTTTAGCCTCCATGTTTTTGTGTTGTTTATGTTTTTTTCCCTGTAATTGATTTCTAATCTCATAGCATTGTGGTTAGAAAAGATACTTTATATGATTTCAATTTTCTTAAATTTACTGAGGCTTGATTTGTGACCCAAGATGTGATCGATCCTGGACAGTGTTCCGTGCACACTTGAGAAGAAAGTGTAATCTGCTGTTTTTGCTTGGAATGTCCTATAAAAATCAGTTAAATCTATCTAGTCTGTTGTGTCATTTAAAGCTTGTGTTTCCTTATTAATTTTCTGTTTGGATGATTTGTCCATTGGTGTTAAGTGAGTTGTTAAAGTCCCCCACTATTATTGTGTTACTGTTGATTTTCTCTTCTATAGCTATTAGCAGTTGTCTTATGTATTGAGGTGCTCCTATGTTGGGTGCATATATGTTTATAATTGTTATATCTTCTTCTTGGATTGATCCCTTGATCATTATATAGTGTCCTTCCTTGTCTCTTGTAACATTCTTTATTTTAAAGTCTATTTTATCTGGTATGAGTATTGCTACTCCAGCTTTGTTTTGATTTCCATTATCAGGGAGTATCTTTTTCCATCCCCTCACTTTAAGCCTGTATGTGTCCCTAGGTATGAATTGGGTCTCTTGGAGACAGCATATAAATGGGAATTGTTTTTGTATCCATTCAGTGAGCTTGTGTCTTTTGGTTGGAGCATGTAATCCATTCACGTTTAAGGTAATTATTGATATGTATGTTCCTATTACCATTTTCTTAATTTTTTTGTGTTTGTTATTGTAGGTCCTTTACTTCTCTTGTGTTTCCCACTTAGAGAAGTTCCTTTAGCATTTGTTGTAGAGCTGGTTTGGTGGTGCTGAATTCTCTTAGCTTTTGCTTGTCTGTAAAGCTTTTGATTTCTCCATCGAATCTGAATGAGATCCTTGCCGGGTAGAGTAAACCTTGGTTGTAGGTTCTTCCCTTTTGTCACTTTAAATATATCGTGCCACTCCCTTCTGGTTTGTAGAGTTTCTGCTGAGAAATCAGCTGTTAACCTTATGGGAGTTCCCTTGTATGTTATTTGTCTTTTTTCCCTTGATGCTTTCAGTAATTTTTGTTTGTCTTTAATTTTTTCCAGTTTGATTACTATGTGTCTTGGTGTGTTTCTCCTTGGGTTTATCCTGTATGGGACTGTCTGCACTTCCTGGGTTTAGGTAGCTATGTCCTTTCCCATATTAAGGAAGTTTTCGACTATAATCTCTTCAAATATTTTCTCAGGTCCTTTCTCTCTCTCTCCTCCTTCTGGGACCCTATAATGTGAATGTTGTTGCATTTAATGTTGTCCCAGAGGTCTCTTAGGCTGTCTTCATTTCTTTTCATTCTTTTTTCTTTATTCTCTTCCGCAGCAGTGAATTCCACCATTCTGTCTTCCAGGTCACTTATCTGTTCTTCTGCCTCAGTTATTCTGCTATTGATTCCTTCTAGTTTATTTTTCATTTCAGTTATTGTATTGTTCATCTCTGTTTGTTTGTTCTTTAATTCTTCTACGTCTTTGTTAAACGTTTCTTGCATCATCTCGATCTTTGTCTCCATTCTTTTTCTGAGGTCCTGAATCATCTTCACTATCATTATTCTCAATACTTTTTCTGGAAGGTTGTCTATCTCCACTTCATTTA